TAAAGTAGCCACCACACGCTCACAGACCGGAAGTGCTCGCACTTCCACAGAGCGTCCGGACTCCATTTCCCAGAATTCCCCGGTTCAACGGCTTGAGCCAAAGGGTCCGCCACTCCATGGAGTTGATGGACTACACGTCCTAGAATTTACTGGTCCACCCGCTTGAGCCTCCTTGCCCGCGACACAGTGTGTCTAGACTCCACTTCCTCAATTGCGAAAGGAAAATGTCTATAATCTCACCCTTCAGGGAGAAGCGTTGAACTCCGCGGTGGTCCTTGACTACACACACCGCAATGGCCACCGGGAACGTATGATCTCTGAGCGCCTGGTGGGGAATGTGGCCTGTGACCCTGTGAGTCGTCCTCTCTCCCTGAGTCTTTGAGCGAAAATACTGGATAGACGGCTTTGCCTCCCACGATGACAGGAGTGTTACTGGGAAGAGAACAAACGAGGGGATACAATCTTCAAGGAGTAGGATAACCTGACAATGGGAGGTTAAAACTAAGAGTTTAAAGAAAGAGCCAGGGCCGGGCGCGGTGGCTCACGCCTGTAATCCCAGCACTTTGGGAGACCGAGGCGGGCGGATGATGAGGTCAGGAGTTCAAGACCAAACTGGCCAACATAGTGAAACCCCGTCTCTACTAAAAATACAAAATAAAAATTAGCCGGGCGTGGTGGCTGGCGCCTGTAATCCCAGCTGCTTGGAAGGCTGAAGCAAAGAAAATCGTTTGAACCTGAGAAGCGGAGGCTGCAGTGGGCCAAGATCGCGCCACTGCCCTCCAGCCTGGGCGACAATCCAAGACTCCGTATCCGGAAAGGAAAAAAAAAAAAAAAAAGCCAGGTAGAATGGTTTGGCAGGAGCAATGAGCCATGAGGAGCAGGAAGACACCAGCCCCTACTCCAGGGGTTGTTGGAACCACTGATTTGGCTGGAAAAGCCACCCCCATTTAAGGTCACAACTACCAGTGAAGAAGCGGTGTCCTCATGGAATAGCTGTCTTCCCATAAAGTTTTTATGGTATTCATATTTCTCCTTTAGATGCAGAAACATCAGATTTCAGCTAATGTAGTGAATTGCTCAGTACCTCAGAGCAATAATGACTGATGAAGAGTTAGTCATTAGTATCAATCTTACATTGAGATTGTAAATGCACTAAAACGGGAGGATTCTACAGGTGAGGGAGCATGTTTTATTAAGAGTTTCTTCCTGGCTGAGTGCAGTGGCTCACACCTGTCATGCCAGCCCTTTGGGAGGCCAGGCAGGACATTCCCTTGAGCCCAGGAATTCGAGACCAGCCAGGGTAATTAGGGGGAGACTTCATCTCTATAAAATTTTTTTAAATGATCAGGCGTGGTGGCCTTGTCTTGTAGTCCCAAGTACTCAGGAGGCTGAGGTGGGAAGATCACTGGAGCCCAGGAGTTTGATTGAGGCTGCAGTGATCTATGATGCCGCCACTGCACTCCAGCCCGGGCAACAGATACCTCATTAAAAAAATTTTTTTTTAAGTTTCTTTCTATTTCTTGGTAAAATATAATTTATTATAGTTAGCAATTTGAAAACTGCCATTGGTTGGTTGAAAAAAATTATAATATAAAGCTAAATTAGAAAACAATTCATCTAAAAACCTGCTCTTTTGAAGGTAACCTGATTTTTTCTCCCTATAAAGATACATTGGCCTATAAACCAATATTCTTCTTTTAAAAAAATGTAGTCTACTGTTTTTTATCTATTTTTCTAAACTAAAAACTTCATAATTTTGTTTAGACACAAAAATAAGGTGAATGTGCAGACCTTATGATGTCAACACCCACTCTCTGAAAGTTGAGTGATCACTATTCATATGCCAGTTATAGCTGTATCCTTGATCTACTCTGCCTTCCCAAAAGATAAAATGTATTGACAAAATCATAGCATGCAGGGAACTGAGCCCAAGAGGTTAGGGGCACTTGGCATCAAAAGTCCCTTCTGTTCCCCAGGTCCTTGCTCTCTGGGTCTGTGACGGCAGGGGCAGCCTCTATGATCTCTGAGATGACTTTGGGGTCATTCTTCCCCAATGTGTCTTGGACAACAGGTCCTGGCTTCAGCTGACATAACCAATCCAAAGTAATCTCATAAATTGGTTGCTTATCTCTACCCTTGTTTTATGCAGAACAGGTTTCCTAAATTTTCCAAAGTAGATAGGCTGTGAATTTTTAAAATTCTTAGTTCTGCTTCCCTTTTAATTAATAATTCTGACTTTCTATGCGGTCTCTCCCACAACACATGGGAATTCTGGGAAATACAATTCAAGTTGAGATTTGGGTGGGGACACAGCCAAACCATATCATTGATGATAGTGACAAAAACAAACAATAGGGAAAGGGCTCCCTATTCAATATGTGCTGCTGAGATAACTGGCTAGCCATATGCAGAAGATTGAAACTGGTCCCCTTACTTACATGATACAAAAATCAAGCCAGGTGCTGTGGCTCACTGCTATAAACATTGGTAATAATGTCCCCACTTTTGTTTCTGATTTTAGTTACTTGGGTCTTTATTTTTTAGTCAGTTCTGCTAACGTTTTCACAATTTTGTTAGTCTTTCAGAATAACCACCTCTTGGTTTGGTTGATTTTCTTTGTTTTCTACTTCTTTTTTTTATTTATTATACTTTAATATTTCCCTCTTACTTTCTGTAAGATTCTTTCTCTTCTTCTAGTTCATGAAAATAAACTTAGGTTGTGGATGTCAGATCTTTTTTCTTTCTTATTTCCCTCCTACTCACTTTTTGTAAGATTCCTTCTCTTTTTCTAGTTCATGAAAATAAACTTATGTTGTGGATGTCAGATCTTTCCTTCTTTTTAAAGCATTTACAGGTATAAGTTTCCCTCCTACCACTGCTTTTGCCTCATTCTGTAAGTTTGGCCATTGTTTCCATTTTCAGTTGTCTCCAGGCATTCCTAATTTCACTTCTGATTTACTTTGACGTTATTTATTTAAGAGTGTGTTTAGTTTCCACATACTTAGGAATTTTCCATTTTTCATGACGTGATTGAATTTCAGCTTTTGTGATTATAATTGGAAAAGACGTTTATGGTATTAAACATTTGAATTAAGAGGTTTTACTGAATTTATTACAATGTTTTCAGCCTTTGGTATGAGAAAAATTACAAATTATTGTTGAATTTATATTGTATTCAACCAATGGAACACTACAGAAAGCCACAAATGTTAGGAATACAACTTCAGGATAGAGGAGGAGGGGAAGGCAGGAACCAATTGGGAACAGATATTATCAAAATAATGCTGTAGGCCAGGTGTGGTGGCTCACGCCTGTAATCCCAGCACTTTGAGAGGCTGAGGAGGGTAGATCACAAGGTCAGGAGTTTGAGACCAGCCTGGCCAATATGGTGAAACCTGGTCTCTACTAAAAATAGAAAAATTAGCCAGGCATGGTGGCACGTAGTCTCAGCTACTTGGGAGGCTGAGGCAAGAGAATCACTTGAACCTGGAAGGCAGAGGTTGCAGTGAGCCGAGATAGTGCCACTGCACTCCAATCAGTCAGCAAGACTCTGTCTCAAAAACGAACAAATAAATAAATAAAATAATGCTATGAACTGCAGTACTCTGCATTTCAACTAAGGTGTCCCTGAATTAACATTTGTAGATTTCCTCTCTTAGATACAATTAAAAACATGTTTGTTCCTTTTGATTCATTTAACACATAGTGAACACAAAGTGATAGTGTTAAAGTTGTGAAGATGCAGCAGAAAACACATGTAGCTGACAATTCTAGTGGTAATCAACTTTGGTATGTTCATGATTCAAGTTTTATAAATGCATGAACAAACTCTTATTCTAAGGCCTGTTTCCTGAATAACTGTAACTGTCAAACTTTTGTTTGAAGCCTACTGCACAATTTGCAAGGGTTCTCCACTATGACAGTCCCAGGACCACGGGGGTATGCTGAACTATGGCTGAAACAAGCTTTAACCTAAACACTTTTTTTTCTCCTACAGGACTGGATGAAATGTATCATCATCATGGATTCTGTTACAATATATGAACTCAAAGGGAATTGCCTGCTATGTGCCTCATATTTTAACGTTTCTCCCCTTTGTGAATGCTTAGGTGAGAGTGTAGTCGTGAAAACTGAGCAAAGACTTTGTTACACACATTACTCACATTTCTCTTCAATGTGGACACTCTGAAGTTGAAGACTTGAGGCCTGAATGAAGCACATACCACCACCCTCCGCACTCGCATAGTTTCTTTCCTATGGGGAGCTTCTGAGGCATAAGATTCAAGTGATGCAGCAATCCCACTACTGGGCATATCCAAAGGAAAGGAGGTCAGTATGTCAAGGAGATATCTGCATTCTGTTCATTGCAGTACTACTCACAATAGCCAAGATAAGGAATCCAACTAAATGTCCATCAACACATCAATGAAGAAAAGGTGGCATATATACACAATGGAATCCTCTTTAGACATAACAAGGAAACAAAATTTTGTAATCTGTGGTAACATGGATGAGTTTTGCAGGACATTGTTAAGTAATACAAGCCAGGCAAAGAAAGAGAAATACTGACTGTCCTCACTCATATGTGGAAACGAAAAAAGCTAATTTCATAGTAGAGAGTAGAACAGTGAGTGTAGAGGCAAGGACGTGTAGGAGATGGGTGAGATGGCCAAAGGTTGGCTAAAAGATACAAAAGTAGAGGTAGACAGGAAGAATGTTTTACTGTTCCGCAGCACTAAAGGTGACTATCGTCAACATTTGATTATTTACAAATTGCTAAAAATGTGTTGTAATCTCACAAATGCACCACACTGCAGCAGTCTCTCTTGTGAGGTATCACCCGGAGTCTTAATCTTACGTCCATGATGATTAAGAAGCACAGAAGCAACGGTGAAATTGAAGTGAAAGTTTAATCTCCACAGTGGAGATGGGGACCCAAATAAGTTGCCCACTATGAGGCTGGGGTCTGAGGTTTTTATGGACTGGGCAAGGGAAGGAATGTGCCTAGTCTGTGGGCTGTCTTGGAGAAAGCATGACTCAGCTTGGTCCTGGACCCTGGCCCGAGACCAATCAGGAGCTGAAGTGATGTTTTTATAGAGGCTGGGCTTTTCCTTCTCCACAAAGGAAAGTGCCAACCCGAACCTACTGAAGCCTACTGTATTCAAGCCCACTGTATTCATGCCCACAAAAGAAGAAACTTTTCTGGGAGCCTGACGATTATACAAAGGACAAAGGCATTTTTGTGTCAGGGTTTGTTCCCTTAACTGAGTGAGCCGGAGGTTTGTGCAAGTTTTTACCTGAGTGGGCTAGAGGTTCTTCTATCTGTGCAGCCATGGGCATGTCTCCAGTCACAAGCCCCTGTGCTGGTTTCCTTACCAGTGCCTGTAGCCTGATTTTCTTCCCCAGGCTGCTTTTTATGTTATGTGGGGATGAGGCACTGACCCGTGCGGCAGGGGCTCTCCACAGACCCTTCCCTTGCTGTCTACCAATTCCTCTCAAATGGACTTTGAATTTTCCAATGAAGAAATGGTAAATGTTTGAGGTGACAGATATAACAATTACACTGATTTCATCATAAATTATATGCACATATTAAAATAACACACCGTACCCCATAAATATTAACAATTATGTGTCATTTAAAAATAATGATAAAAGTATATCCAGATTCAAGCGTCTCTTGTAGCGTTTCCCACAGTCCTCACATTTGGATGGGTTTTCCCCACCGTGGTCTCTCTGTTGGTCTTTATGGTATGTCCTGTGTACAAGTCTCTTTCCACAGTCCTCACATTTGAATGGTTTTTTACGGCAGTGGAGTCTCTTATGATTCAAAATACTTGAGGCCCGGCTAAAGCTCTTCCCACATTCCTTACAATTATAAGGTCTCTCTCCTGTGTGGATCCTCTTGTGCAAGTCAAGATTAAACCTACTAATGTAGCCCTTCCCACACTCCTCACATTTATATGGCTTTTCTCCATTGTGGGCTCTCTGATGGGAGGACAGTTGTGAATTTGTATAAAATTCCTTCCCACATTCTTCACATTTGAAGGGTTTTTCTCCACTGTGGACTCGCTGATGGTTCAAAAGGCGTGAGGACCATCTGAAGCTCTTCCCACATTCTTTACAATTATATGGTTTCTCTCCTGTGTGGACCACCTGATGCTTATAAAAATCTAGCCTACCAATGAAGCCTTTTCCACACTGCTCACATTTGTATGGTTTCTCTCTTGTGTGGACCATGCAATGCCTATTAAGTGCTGATCTCTGATGAAAGCTCTTATCACATGTATCACACCTAAATGGTTTTTCTCCTGTGTGAACCATAGAATGGCTCTTAAGTCTTGACTTAAAATGGAAGCTCTTACCACATACATCACATTTGAATGGCTTCTCCCCAGTATGGATTCTCTTATGTTCCTTAAGCTTGGAATCGTGAATGAAGGCCTTTCCACATTCCTCACAAATATAAGGTTTCTCGCCTGTGTGTAATTTATGATGAACATTAAGTGCTGATCTACGACTGAAACCTTTCCCACACTGCTCACATTTGAATGGTTTCTCTCCAGTGTGGACTCTCTGATGAATATGAAGAACTGAGATGTAACAGAAGCTTCTTCCACACTCATCACATGTATGAGACTTCTGTCCTGTGTGTAATTGCTGAGGAAGATCAAAGACGGAGACATCACTGAAGGACGGTTTAAACTTCCCACCCTGGGAAGGTTTCTGTCCTGTGTGAATTATGCGCAGTCCTGCTTCAACCCGGGAGGGGAAATCACCATGTTCAAAGAATTGAGAGTTATTTATGATATAGTCCTGAGACCTGGTTAAGTCATTTGTAGTTTGTTCCCAGATTTGCTGGCAGGACCACTCCTCATGTGTTCCTGCTTCTGGAACAGACTCCAACTCAGTTTGGATCTTGCCTCCTATAAGGACACAGATTTAAGAGATGTGTACAGGTAAAGACTTTATTCAGTGCTTTCAAGGTTTCACAGTTAGGACATGACATTAAACTTTAATGAATACAGAGAATGTTCAGTTTGTGTTTTCCAAGTACACCCTGATTTCTGGTTTGTATGAGGCCAATTCAGAATGACATCATGTCTCAATAATAGACTTCATTTAAAAATATGATACATACATTTGGCGGGGCGCGGTGGCTCAAGCCTGTAATCCCAGCACTTTGGGAGGCCGAGGCGGGTGGATCACGAGGTCAAGAGATCGAGACCATCCTGGTCAACATGGTGAAACCCCTTCTCTACTAAAAATACAAAAAACATTAGCTGGGCATGGTGGCGCATGCCTGTAATCCCAGCTACTCAGGAGGTTGAGGCAGGAGAATTGCCTGAACCCAGGAGGCGGAGGTTGTGGTGAGCCGAGATCGCACCATTGCACTCCAGCCTGGGTAGCAAGAGTGAAACTCCTTCTCAAAAAAAAAAAAATATGATACATACATTTAACTTGCTACTATTTCTTTTCTTTTCTTTTTTTTTTTTTTTTTGAGACAGAGTCTAACTCTGTCACCCAGGCTGGAGTGCAATGGTGCAATCTTGGCTCACTGCATCCTGCGTTTAAGTGATTATCCCACCTCAGCCTCCCGAGTAGCTGAGATTACAGGTGTGCAACACTACACATGGCTAATTTTTGTGTTTTTAGTAGAGACAATGTTTCATCATGTTGGCCAGTCTGGTCTCAAACTCCTGACTCCTGACCTCAGGTGATATCCACCCGCCCCGGCCTCCCAAAGTGCTGGCATTACAGGCGAGAACGACCGTACCCACCCAACTTATTACTATTTCTAATGAGTTTCCTAGTCAGTCTAAAATCTTGCATTATAAATTACGAAACTAAAAATGTATGTACATAATGAAATATGAAGGAACTTTAAGGAAAAGCAATAACATAATCAATACTTTCTATATTTGTCTTTATGCTGTATATCCTTATAAAGAAGTTAACCTAGGCCAAGTGTGGTGGCTCAACCCTGTAGTCCCAGCACTGTGGGATTGATCACTTGAGTCCAGGAGTTCAAGGCCAGCCTGGGCAATATAGCGAAACCCCATACCTCCTAAAAATAAAAAATTAGCTGGGCGTAGTGCCGCACTCCTGTAGTCCCAGCTACTAGGGAGGCTGAGGTAGGAGGATTGCTTGAGCCTGGGAGGTGAAAGTTGCAGTGAGCCTTGGGTGACAGAGTGAGACCCTGTCTCAAAAAAAAAAAAGCTGGGTACAGTGACTCACGCCTGTAATCCCAACACTTTGGGAGGGCAATGAGGGCAGAACACTTGAGGTCAGGAGTTCAAGACCAACCTGGCCTTGAAATCCCATCTCTGCTAAAAATACAAAAAAATCAGCCAGGCCTGATGGCACATGCCTATAGTTCTAGCTACTTAGGAGGCTAAGGCAAGAGAATTGCTTAAACCTAGAAGGCAGAGGTTTTTTTTTTTTTTTTTGAGACAGAGTTTCGCTCTTGTTACCTAAGCTGGAGTGCAATGGCTCGATCTCGGCTCACCGCAACCTCCGCCACCTGCCACCTGGGTTCAAGCAATTCTGCCTCAGCTTCCTGAGTAGCTGGGACTACAGGAGTGTGCCACCATGCCCAGCTAATTTTTGTATTTTTAGTAGAGACGTGGTTTCACCATGTTGACCAGGATGGTCTTGATCTCTTGACCTCGTGATTCACCCACCTCGGCCTCCCAAAGTGCTGGGATTATAGGCGTGAGCCACCATGCCCGGCCAAAAAAAAAAAAAAAAAAATTAACCTAACTAAAAAGAGGTTGGGACTTTGTCCTCAGCATCTGAGAGCTAATCTCTAGGATCCTGAAGTGTCATACCTAAGGAGAGTGTCCTGGATGCCTTGAGGGCAAACACTGGATCACTCTGCATAGTGAAACAATATAATTTGCAGTTGTGGCTGGCAGATTCTTTGGGGATTGAGGGTAAGAGATGCTCCTTTCCATGTCAGAAATAACATCAATGTGATTTAAGGTGGAGTTTTAGGTCACAAAGAATTAGTGGACCGGGAGACTGATTAATCACCTAGAAATTAATGAACCAATAATGGTTCCATAATGGAGACCTAATAATTACTCTGGATCCCAGCAGTCAGGTGAGTTTCTGTGACTGGCAGTTACTTTGAGTCTAAGACATACTTTAATCCTGGGAATGTGACACATCCTACTCTACCAGGAGAATACAATAGAAGGTCCCCATTTGGTTCTTCTCATCTGGACTCTGTCTTACTTGGTTTTTCTCTAAGTATAATATATATCTCTTCACTGTAAAAATCAGTCACTCTGAGAATAAAAGTATTCAGTGAGCTCTGAGAGTTTAGAAAATTACTGAATGTGAAGGTAGTTTTGAAAACCTCCCAAATTTGGTGTGAAGTGAGAGCAGTTCTCTATAAAATCTCAGTAAATTTTGTAGTTGGTTGAACTCTTCACAATGTTAAACATCAAACACCTCGTAGTGTTTGTATGTACACTTTCAAAGTGTTCCTGAACAAGAATTTTGCACAGCATGTATAAAATACTTAATCTTATTTTTCTATTTTGATATGGACAGTAACTTGGTTATCTGAAAGAATACAGGGACAGACAGCTGCAGTTTTGAGGGGAATCTGAAAGGCTGTCCTTCCAGGGGTCTTCAAAGGGGGATGCTCCTGAGCAGACAATCAAAGATGTAAAGAATCACTTGGAATGAAAAGAAAGCCTATGATGCAGATAAATAGTTACTTTATAACTTTTTTATATTGAAGACTATACATTAGCAAGCTATGAAATACATTTAAACTCTACAATAAACATTTACAAAAAACTAGAATGTAAATTATCACAGCATCATGACAAGCAGGAAAGTGGTCCTTACATAAAGTGCCTACTAGAGTCATTCATACACATCAATAGGCCTGAAAAACGTTTGTCTTGATTATATTGAAAGATGTGCTTCTTACTATGTCTCATGCACACAAAACATTCAACAATGTGTCAGGATAATACCAAGTCCCGAATTAAGTAAATTTTTCCAATGGAAAGTTAAGTTGCAAAGGTTGATTAATAGATTAAGTGTATACCTATTGGAACACAGTGGTACATGGATATATTTAATACATTGTGACTTAATAAATAAGAGGCCTTAAAGAGAACGGAGAATCTTCAGGATGTTTTCGGTTTGAGAGGGCAGTTTCCCAATTCCTACCAGGTCAGAAAGTTTACCAGTTCAAAGTACAGCACTAAATCTCTATAAAAATCAAGAAAAAATTGTGTAAAATATATATCCTTTAATATGTTTGACATAATCCATGAGATTATGGAAGAATGTGGTGTATACTTCTGCATACACCACATTAGTGTATGTGATGCAAAGTAGCTTTTGTATGACATAAAGATGCAGAAATATACACCACATTTATGAAGAAAGAGGACCAGAAATAGAGTAAATGTTCAGCTCTGTGACTTGTGTCCCCTCACCCTCATTCTTCCCCTTCTAGTAGGAAGAAAGTGAAACCTGGGGGCAGTCAAGTGCATACTGACTTTGGAAAAAGCAAATGGGCTGCAGGTGGGTATAAATCTTTCAAAGGAAATGTAGCTGGAAATCCTCATTCACAAGGAATTTCTGCCCAGATATAAATATGCTCTCTAAGAAAAGCTCCAGGGTAAGTCTCAGGGAAGGCATCTTACTCAGTGTGTTCATAAAAACAATGGTTAGAAATTTCCATGGGACGTGGGTCAACTGTACACACCTAAAACCAATCATGTCAAAGGAACCTAAGAAAGTCAGAATTGGATAAGCAGCAAACAGCAGGCCAAAAAAACTGTTCTGCAATATACAGTCAGCCTTCCTATTATGTTATACAGCAAGGGGGATTAAAACGGCAGATGCCATTAAGGTCACTAGTCACCTAAGCAAAAGGTAGGAAGATCTTCCTGGATTATGCAGGAGTGACCAATACAATCACAAGGGACCCGAAAAGTAGAAGACAAAGGCTTAAGAAGAGTGGCAGAGGGAATGATATTATGGAAGAATAGTCAGAGATACAAAGTAGCTGCCTTTGAAGATGAAGAAGTGAAACAAGGGCCAGGGAGTGTGGGCAGTGCCTAGACACTGGTAAACCAAAGTGAAGCTTTCCCTCCAAGAACGTCTAGACAGGAACGAAGCTTTAGGGCCACTTTGCTTTTTGCCCAATGAGATGTATCAGACTTCAGGCCTAAAGAACAGAGAGTTAATAAATATTTTTGTTCAGTCCACTAAGTTTGTGGACATTGGTTACCACAACAGGCAATACAGTGCCCTTGGCAGAACAGAGAAACAGCAAGGAAGAAATGTCGCTGGAAATGATGGAGAAAGAGGGAAAGGACATATGTAGTCAGAGAGGCAGAACAGGATGAAGAGCAGACCACATAGGTCTCTAAGATGCACTTAAAGAGGTTGTAACAATAATAAAAATAAGAAGCCATAAAAACTTTTGAGGAGAGGAATGATGATCTGACTTCCATTTCCTAAGGATCGCTTTGGCTGCCATATGAACAGATATTAGGGTGGGAAGGGTGGGAACAGGGCCACCAGCTGGAAGGCAGTTGTAATAATCCAGAAAAGAGATGTGGTCATTTACATCAGAGCAATGCAAATGGGCACAGACAGAAGCACAACAGGTGGGAGAGTCATGTAGAAGGATGCACAGAGGCTTAGTTCTCACCTGAATTTCCTTCTCTTTGGGTTGCTGTCTCCATCATCCAAAACTTTTCTTCCCTTAGGAAGTGGAAAACATCTTGGTGGAATGGTTGATGCCCTGTGAATAGGTAAAGTCATGTGCTGACTCCCAACACATTCTGGGTAATATTTAGGCAAAATTTACTGGAAATGTAGGTCCCCAATGCACACTCAAACTTGAGCACTCTAAGGTACAAAGCCACTCCTGGGGCCTGTCATTCTGTACTCACCCACTGACAGCAGGTTCCTGAAGTTCTCCAGCATCACATCTCGGTACAGCTTCCTCTGGGCAAGGTCCAGCAGCCCCAGCTCCTCCTCAGTGAAGAACACAGCTACGTCCTTGAAGGTCACTGCCTCCTACAATATCAAGAAGACATAACCTCAATCTTATGACCAAAGACTACCGGGGAAGGAGCGGCATTGAGCTGGTGAAGGAGATAAGTGGAAAGTTGTTCTCCATATTGAGAGATGTAGGTCAGCTTATAGAATTCCCACTCATTCTGCCTATATCCTGACAATGGCACACACTGATTTTCCTGAACTCCACCAGAAGTGCAGTAATGAAGTCCCATACATTTACTTTGTGCTCTCACTGAGTCTACTTGTGTATGTAACCCTCTAGGACTCCACAAGCTGTATCCTGGGCTACCTATACATAGGTTCAACAAATTTTGCCAACTTCCCCAGAAACATTAAACAATTCAGTCCCAACCTTGTTGAGTAAGGCCCATTGTCCTCCTCTCTCATGTTCAAACCCTGGATGCTATCACTTTTCTTTAGTATTTGCTAAACTAACGAGTTTTAGGTAATTGTGGGATAATTTTCAGGGTGGCCTTGAATCATTCTTTCTTGCTTATAGTTCTGAAGCATAAACACAGAACCTACTAGCAATGCAATGTTCCTGTCCTTCCTAAGGAAGGTAACGTCTTGAGTTAGGGAGAAAGTGCCCAGTAAGTCATGTTGCCCCTAAGGTATATAAGGGGAAGGCTGCCTTCTGGGGTACCTCTGCTCTGGTGGAAGTGGGGTCTAGATTTTGTCCATCCCAGGAAGTTTTCCTCAGCCTTGGTGGCCACCTCACAATGTATCCTACACTTCTGTGTTCCCTTGCTGCCGATCTGTAGATAACAAATCTGCTTCATATAATTAGTTGAGTGAGATCGTGTTCTGTCTCACAGGACTCACCCAAGTTGGTAATCAGTGCAGAGTGAACCTGCTCCACAGTACCTGCATGGACAGCTGTGTGGTATAGCTATATAGTATGTCCTCTACTCTCAAAGTACAAACCACATGTTAATTGCAGCCCTCACTGTCCTGATCAGAAGCCAGAATGCAACACTGCACATCCTAAGGGTCCGCCCCTTCCTAGCTGTGTGGCCCTAAACATGTTTGCCTACAGGAATTAGTTTCCTTTCTAAGTAATAGTTCTTACATGGCACAGTGTTTAAAGAATTAAACAAGGAAATATACAGCATTTGGAAGCATCTGCGCCATTGACTAAGTGTTTAATGAACATTAGGTGGAATTATTTTTACTGTTGTTACTAGTATTATCTATTTCATGGCTGCATAGTGTTCCAGAGAACTGATGATCTACTTTTAGCTACAGTAAAGAAAATTTAATTTTACATATTTTCATTATCAATCCTATAAAGAGCATCATTTTTAAGTAATGACATAGTAAGATGTAAGAACATCTTACTCTCCTCTCTCATTGTTTAAAGTTATAATTTCAAATGAAAATTAAAACATCAAAAAATAAGCACATTTAGAACTGTGATCATATAACTGCAAGCTTTCTTCCCAGTTTTTTACCTACCTCCATAATCTTTCAATAGAATACAAGTACTTTGGTTCTCTTCATGATGGCCAAGAGCATGCTATAAATATTCCCACAGTCTTGGTAATCTGATTAAGGAACATTCTATTATTCTCACTTACTTGATTATAGATGAAAACCATCACTTTTCAAGGCTATTGGCCATTTCTATTTCTCCTTTTACATTGGCACACTGGACTTTTAGTGTCCTTTGTTCCTACCTGTTTAGAGTTTTTCCTTGATTCTGTGTACAAGATTTTGACTTTCGATTTTATCATCTTTAGGTATCCACGTGGGAAACATTATTGCCCCAGGTTGTTATTTCTTCTGGTAACATTGTGTGAGGCATCTTTTGCCATAAGGGATTTAAAGATTTTCTGTAACAACTATGGTAATCGGTGTACTTCGTTCAGTGTCTGGAGTAGATGCCATGTCAGAGTGACATGTGACAAGAGGTCACATCAAGTAGGGACAGGGAGGAGCAGCGCCACCTAGGGACACCATCGCTCAAAGGGCACTCCAGACACCCACACCACAGGGCACAGGTTCAATGGAGAATCCTCTTTCACTTGAGCCAAATGGCTAATGCTCCTATCCCTTGGTTGCCTGTGTACACTTGAGCAGGTTTCTCATATTTCACCTGTTTAAGAGGAAGAAGAGACCAGGAACCTTCTCATTCTGCTGCTCTGAGGAGTAAATGTAGGAACAGAACACAAGTGACTGGCAAATCTCAGTGTCACTGGGCATTTTAAATGAAGGCTTTCTACTACATAAATGACTAAGAGACCAGTAAATAAAACACATGCAGAGTATGCCTGAGACATGGAGAACACAGAATCTAGCTCTTCCTGTGTGAAAACTCCAACAACATTTGTGTGGAGCAGCAGTTATAACCTGTTGTTCTGTGCCAAGTTAAAATATTCTATCTACAAAACAGCCAGTGTGGTACATGTCAAAAGTACTCTTTCAAAATTGAGCTAAAATGGCATATGGTTTTCAAAATTACTTTGTGGGAAAAAAATCTGCCTATGTGTGTGAGGTAGTTATCAATAAAAAGATATTCCAATTTAACAGTAATATGGTGCAACCATAAAAATGTTAGATTATATAACATATAAAGAGTACAGTTAAGGCCGGGCGCGGTGGCTCAAGCCTGTAATCCCAGCACTTTGGGAGGCCGAGGCAGGTGGATCACGAGGTCAAGAGATCGAGACCATCCTGGTCAACATGGTGAAACCCCGTCTCTACTAAAACTACAAAAAAATTAGCTGGGCATGGTGGCACGTGCCTGTAGTCCCAGCTACTCAGGAGGCTGAGGCAGAAGAATTGCTTGAACCCAGGAGGCGGAGGTTGTGGTGAGCCGAGATCGCGCCATTGCACTCCAGCCTGGGTAACAAGAGCGAAACTCCATCTCCAAAAAAAAAAAAAAAAAAAAGTACAGTTTACAGTTAGATGTATACCATCAATACAAATACAGTTATGAATGTATATGAGAAACAGCATAAGATAAAAAGGGATAATTTGAGAGAAGGGAGGTAATGAAGTGGGAGCACTGTTCATTCCTACTAATTTTTTTTTTAGAGGTGGGGTTTCTCCATGTTGGCCAGCCTGGACTTGAACTCCCCACCTCAGGTGATCCGCCCACCTCAGCCTCCCAAAGTGCTGAGATTACAGGTGCAAGCCACTGCACCTGGCCCGTTCCTACTAATTTTTCTATTCCATAAAATAAATAATGGTAAAATCAAACCAAAACAAAAGCAAAAACCAAATGCAGTCAACACAAAAGAGATAAAGGTAAGCACCTGGCACACAACAGCTCCCCAAATGCCTATCTTCTCCTTGAGTCTTCTCACGACAAAGAAAAACACATGACAGTATATGTAGTGAGATGGAATTTTAACATCAAGAGAGGCACGCCCCACTCACCTTGAATGAGGTCATTTTTTTCTCCTATGTTGGGGAATTTGCAGACTCCTGAGTGATGCAGTTTGAAGGAAGGAGGAATCCTGCCTGACACATGCCACTGTCTGCAGAAAAAGACATGAAAGGGTTGCCATGGGTGACACCCACCAATACAGATGTGTATGGTAAATGAGCACATGAACGATTACAGCAGCATTATTCATAATAACCCCAAACTCCACACAACCAAAATGCCTTCCTCTGGGTAAAAGCATAGACAAATGATGGCGTACCCATACAATGGAATGTTATTTGAAAATTTAAAGGAATGAAGTACTGACTCGAGCTACAACATGCAGAGCTTGTAAGCAAGCTAAATGATGAATGAAAGAAGCCAATCACAAAACCCATGGATTATAGGATCCCATTTATATGAAATATCCATAATAGGTAACAGTATACAGAGAGAAAATAAGTTAGTGGTTGCTCCAGATTTGAGGTGAGAATGAGTTTTTATTTTTTAAGAGGTGGGGTCTTGCTATGTTGCCCGGGCTGGTCTCAAACTTCTGAGCTCAAGCTATACCTCCCACTTCAGCCTCCCAAAATGCTGAGGTTACAGGCATGAGCCACCATGCCCAGCCTGAAAATGAGTTTTAACTGTAAGTGGGCACAAGGAGTCCAACTGGGGAATGAAAATGGTCTAAACTGAATCATGATGATGGCAAAAACACTCTGTGAAATTTCTAAAGATCACTGAGTTGTATACCTGAAACTGGTGAATGCTATGATATGTAAAATACACTTCAATAGAGTTGGAAAAAAAATTGTTAATCTACCTGTCATTTAACTTAACAAGACCGAGTCCACATTTTTTTTTTTTTTTTTTTTGAGACGGAGTTTCGCTCTTGCACTCCAGGCTGGAGTGCAATGGCGCGATCTCGGCTCACCGCAACCTCCGCCTCCTGGGTTCAGGCAATTCTCCTGCCTCAGCCTCCTGAGTAGCTGGGATTACAGGTATGGGCCACCATGCCCAGGTAATTTTTTGTATTTTTAGTAGAGATGGGGTTTCACCATGTTGACCAGGATGGTCTCGATCTCTTGACCTCGTGATCCACCCACCTCGGCCTCCCACAGTGCTGGGATTACAGGCTTGAGCCACCGCGCCCGGCCAAGTCCATATTAATATGGTTTTCAAAATTAATTTTGTGGGACCAAGTCCAAATATTCCATATTGATATTTATAATTGGAGAAACTAATAAATAAATGTGAGAGAACTGTAAGTTCACCTTTATAGTGACTGCTCATTAATAATGTATCTCCCCAGAAGAAACTTTATTATTTTTTTAAAAAGGTAATTTTACAGTGGATAAATCTGAAAGACATCATCTTGGCCAAATGACAAAGTAGAGATCACCAATGAAGGGCCAAACCAACATCATTTGGCCCCTGTTATGTTACAATAAGTAGGAAACCTTATCACTTTGGTGGTATTCCCACCAACAATATATAATCTGCACTTGATCTTAGCCAAAAGGCCCAGAAGCGATAACTATACATGATCTAAACCTAAACATGAAATATATCAGAAAAATCCCAATGAATGTCTTTCTCCCAAATCACTTGCCTATACTCTTAAAAAATACCTTGTACATAAAAGACAAAGGCTGTGAAATCCTTCCACATTAAAGATAGAATACGTGATGACTAAACACAATGCATATAATTAGGCTTTAAACTGAGGGCAGGGTGAAGGGTGGGGGAGATAGAGGATAGTTGTGAGGACTTCAAATGAATGGAACCACACATTAGATAATATGATGTTATGGAATATGTTATCTAGCACTATCTAATTATAACACTATAAGCACAATTAGTTTTAACAGACATCTAATATTTAATAAATATCATTTAATATAATGTCTAATATTATGTAGCATGTTACGTGAAACCCTATAACATGCCCTTTCTAAACACCTCTTAGCAAGTCACTCCATGATCACCATGGAATGTGGGCTTCCTTGCTGCAGAAATCTACAATCAATAGTCTCTGGTTACAGGTATGTTCCTGGTAGTATTTGGCTGATGGTCACCAGCAAACAGGAAACAGGAAAAGCAAACAGGAAAAATGTAAACAATTGCAAATCTGGGTAAAGAGTATATGGGAATTTCTTATACTATTTTTGCAACTTTCCTATAGCTTTGAAATGATATAAAAATGAAAAGTTTTAAGCTACCAGGAAATAGTCATAAGGATAACAATGGGAATAAGTGAGCACGACATAATATGGCAGTTTGCTAGTTTATTCTGTATTAGCAGTATTTAAAAATTTCCATAAAGAAATATGAGAAAACACATTAAGATATTATAACAATTTTTAAATGTTTCTAAATAAATATACAAATAGACACAAAGAAAGACTAAAAAAGGATGATTAGAAAGACTAAGAAGATATGGGGGAGGCCGGGAGCGCTGGCTCACGCCTGTAATCCCAGCACTTTGGGAGGCTGAGGCAGATGGATCACCTGAGGTCAGGAGTTTGAGAACAGCCTGACCAATATGGTGAAACCCCGTCTCTACTAAAAATACAAAAATTAGCTGGGCATGGTGGGAGCTGCCTGTAGTCCCAGCTACTTGGGAGGATGAGACAGGAGAATTGCTTGGACCTGGGAGGCAGAGGTTGCAGTGAGCTGGGATCGTGCCACCTCACTCCAGCCTGGGCGACAGAGCAAGACTCTTGTCTCATCCTCCCAAGTAGCTGGGACTACAAGAAAGAAAGAAATGGGGGATAACTGGAAGTTCTATCACGTCTGTCAGACAGCTATTACCTTTACATGTTGAATTAAAACATTTTTTTCTCCTATTTATCTAATTTCAAATTGTTCCGCAATGATATGGTTCCACAACAATACAAAATCCTTATAAAAAGCGAAACAAAATGTTGACAAATTTTTAAAAGATTCCTACAGAGGTCCAAGTCCATGAGCCTTTCTCTCAAGGTCTTTTCAATCAAGACCTAACTTGCTTTCCCCACCTGATTCCAGCTAGTTGCTCTGCCGAAATGAAAATGTATCCAAGGAATGATGAATTCAGGCTCTGATCCTGACTCCAACTCCAGCTCCACCTCTTACTTCAGTAACTATGCACCTGGTATCTCACTACCATATTTAAAATGGAAAGAGCAATACCTTTCCACAGAGCCACGGTGTGGCCTGGCTTAAAGGTATTCATTTCCATAAAGCCCTTAGAATGAAGTTACCAATTAAAGCTTAATTATTATCAATTCCCATGCCCAAGGACACATCCTATACACTCTTGGTTGAAGTGAACATCTCTGTAAAAGAAAAAACCCGGCCTGGAGCAGTGGCTCACGCCTGTAATTCCAGCACTTTGGGAGGCCGAGGTGGGCAGATCACTTGAGACCACCGGTTCAAGACCAGCCTGGCCAACATAGTAAAACCTGGTCTCTACTAAAAATACAAAAATAAGCCGGACACGGCGGCACATACCTGTAATCCCAGCTACTCGGGAGGCTAAGGCAGGAGAACCGCTTGAACCCAGGAGGCCGAGGTTGCAGTGAGCTGAGATCGCTCCACTGCTGCACTCCAGCCTGGACACAGAGCCAAACTCGTTCTCAAATAATAATAATAATAATAATAACGGACTAACAAAGTAAATAACACTTTTTAAAAAGGAAAAAAAGTCAAGGACCACTCGCGTAGAACTTTGCCCTCAGTAGCCAAGCCCCTCCCTGCAGCTCTTTTGGAAAGGTCAGGCTGGGGAAGGAGAAAGCCGGGAAACACCCTGACTGAGTCGCCGTCCGGGTTAAAAGTTAAATGCTTCCCCCGCTTCGTGAAGGCTGGAGGCAACCCTCGCCTTCCTAAAAAGAGGTCAGAGGCATCCGGGATCATCCAGCGTCCTGCCGGGATGCGAGAGAAGGGCCGGGGCAGCTGGAGCTCTGACCCCACCCGGGGACCTGACCACTTCGCGGGAAATTAACAAGAGCTCAAGTGACAGGGGCTGTTAAGGCTTTGTTTTATACCACAACTTTCAACTCCTAAAACAAGTCTATCAGGATGGTCCTAAAATCCTAATTTTAAAAACGGCAATGAGATTAAGCAACACCCCACGTTATATTGCGAGAAAGAGGTCGCACACGTAGGTGGAGGGAGGCTGAATGAGCGAGGTCAAAGACCTGGAAAACCCTCAACACAGGCACACAAGACCAGACAGGGTTTTCCCCCCGCGCACCGTCCCCTGTCCCCCGTCCCCCGAAGACTCCTCCTGTGGACGCGAGTACAGCTCGCAACGCCAGAGGGCTCCGCCGACGGCAACAAACCCTCCTGCCCACCCTCGCATTTCCAAACCTCAGGTCTTCGCCAGGGCTTCTTACCCTCTTAATTGACCGCCAGGTCGTTAGGGGCCCCTAACAACCGGTTCACTTTCGCAAAGACCGTCAAGACACAGAGTTGGCTCAAACCACCTTGGTAAGCAAAGTAGCAACGTCCTGCTCGGAGACCGGAAGTGTCTGCATGCCACAGAGCGTCTGGACTACACTTCCCAGAATCCCCCGAATCCGCCTGCCTGAGCCAAAGTTCCCAGGACTCCACAGAGCAAATGGACTCCACTTCCCAGAATTCACAGGTTCTCCTGCCTGAGCCAAAATTCGCAGGCCTCCCAACTTACTCGCGGAAACGCCTGCGGGAGCCAAATTTTCTGCGCATCCAAGCGGCAACTAAACTGCCACAGGCGTTTCTTTCAGATTCAGCCTTGGTAGGGTGTATGGGTCCAGAAATTTATTCATTTCTTCAAGATTTTCTAGTTTATGTGCAGAGAGGTGTTTATAGTATTCTCTGATGGTCGCTTGTATATCTGAGGGGTCAGTGGTGACATACCCCTTATCATTTCTGATTGTGTTGGAGTCTTCTCTCTTTTCTACTTTATTAGTCTAGCTAGCAGTCTTACTAATTTTTTCCCCCAAAAAACCAGCTCCTGGATTTGTTAATTTTTTGAAAGATTTTTTTGTGTTTCTATCTCCCTCAGTTCTGTTCTGATCTTATTTCCTGTATTCTCCTAGCTTTGGGGTTTGCTCTTTGTTCTTATTTTAGTTGTGATATTAGATTGTTAACTTGAGATATTTCCAGCTTTTTGATGTAGGCATTTAGTACTATAAATTTCCATCTTACGCTTCTTTAACTGCATCCCAGAGATTCTGGTACGTTGTGTCTTTAGTCTCATTAGTTTTAAATAATTTGATTTCTTTCTTAATTTCATTATTTACCCAGAAGTCATTCAGAAGCATGTTATTCAATTTCCACATAGTTGTGTGGTCTTATGTTAATTTCATTTTTAATTTTTTGGGTGAATTTCTTTTTTTAAAAGTTATCATTGTTCTATTTTATTAATCTCTTGCTATGCTTAATTTATACATTACACTTTATCATCAGTATGTATATATAGAAAAAAACGGTGTATAAAGGTTTGGTACTATCTGAGGTTTTAGGAGTCCACTTGGGGCCTTGGGATGCATCCCCTGAAGATAAGGAGGAACTACTGTATGCAAAATCGAAAGCTATGCAACAATTAGAAACATTGAGAGAGCAAATCTAAGTGAAGACATTCCTCTGAATTCCCAGGTTTCATCGAGCATCAAAAACAACCAATCTTTTAGTCCTTTTCTTGTACATTATTCTGAATCCACATTCTCTGCAATTGATTGGATCCCTAGATTTTATTTCATTTTCTGTGTGACATTCTCCACAGATGTATATCATTGGTTGCTGCTTTGGAGGTTGAATGTCCTTCTGAGTGTCCATTGTTAGCCTGCAACACGGGAAAAGTTCTCACTCTGTGTTTCCAAATACCTGGGTGAATTTCTTAATCTCAAGTTCAATTTGATTGTGCTATTGTCTGAGAGACTGTTATGATTTCAGTTCTTCTGCATTTGCTGAGGAGTGTGTTACTTCCAATTATGTGATTCATTTTTAAGTGCTGTGCAGCAATGAGAAAAATGTATATTCTGTTATTTTGGGGTGGAGAGTTCTGCAGATATCTATCAGGTCTGCTTGATCCAGAGCTGAGTTAAGGTCCCCAATATCTTTGTTAATTTTGTCTCAATGATCTAATATGGTCAGTGGAGTGTTTAAGTCTCCCATTATTACTGTGTGGGGCTTTAAGTCTCTTTGTAGGTCTCTAAGAACCTGCTTTTTGGATCCGGGTCCTCTGGTATTGGGTGCTTATATATTTAGAATAGTTAGCTTTTCTTGTTGAACACTTTACCATTATGTAATGCCTTGCTTTGTCTTTTTTTTTTTTTTAAATCTTTGTTGGTTTAAAGCCTGCTTTGTCAAAAACTAAAATTGTAACTCCTGCTTTTTTCGATTTGTTTTCTTAGTAAATTTTCCTTCATCCCTTTGAGCCTATGTGTGTCTTTGCATGTGTGATGGGTCCCTTGAAGACAGTGTATTGATGGGTCTTGGCTCTTTATCTGGCTTGCACTTCTGTGTCTTCTAATTGGGGCATTTAGCCCATTTACATTTGATATTAGTATTGTTATGTGTGAATTTGATCCTGTCATCATGATGCAGACTTGCATATTTTGCAGACTTGTTTATGCAGCTGCTTTATAGTGTCACTGGTATATGTGCTTCAGTGTGTTTTGTAGTGGCTGGTAATGGTTTTTCCTTTCCACATTTAGTGCTTACTTCAGTAACTCTTGCAAGGCAGGCCTGGTGGTGATGAATTCTCTCAGCATTTGTTTGTCTGAAAAGGATCCTATTTCTTTGCATATAAAGCTTAGTTTGGCCAGATACTAAGTTCTGGTTAAGAAATTCTTTTCATCAAGAATGCTGAATATTTACCCCCAATAACTTCTGGCTTGTAGGATTTCCACTGAGAGGTCTGCTGTTAGTCTGATGGGCTTCCCTTTGTAGGTGACCTGATGTTTCTTTCTCTCTGACTGCCCTTTACATTTTTAAATTCTGACCTTAGAGAATCTGATGATTATGTGTCTTGGGGTTGATCTTCTTGCGGAATATCTTACTGGGGTTCTCTGTATTTCCTGAATTTGAATGTTGGCCTGTCATGCTAGGTTTGGAAAGCTCTCCTGGATAATGTCCTAAAGTATGTTTTCAACTTTTTTCCATCCTCCCCACCTCTTTCCCCAATCAGTCATATGTTCAGTCTTTTTACACAACTCCATATTTCTCAAGAGGTTTTGTTCATTGCTCTTCACTCTTTCTCTATTCTTGTCTGCCTGTCTTATGTCAGAAAGATAAGTCTTCAAGCTCTGAATCTCTTTCCTCCTCTTGGTCTATACTACTATTGATACTTGTGATTGCATTGTCAAGTTCTTGTGTTTTTTAGCTCCATCTGGTCAGTTATGGTCCTCTCTAAATTGGCTATTCTGGTCATCAGCTCCTGTATTATGATTCTTAGCTTCTTTGCATTGGGTTATGACGTGCTCCTTTAGCTCAGCAAACTTCATTATTACCCACCTTCTGAAGCCTACTTCTGTCAATCCAGCCATCACAGCCTCTACCCAGTTCTGTGCCCTTGCTGGAGAAGTGCTGCAGTCATTTGGAGAAGAGGCACTCTGGCTTTCTGAGTTTTCAGCGGTTTTTTTGGTGTGTTTTTTTTTTTTTCTCATCTTTGTGGGCTTATCCACTTTCAATCTTTGAGGTTACTGACCTTTGAATGGGGTTTTTGTGGGGTCTTTTGTTGATGTTCTTGTTGTTTTCTGACTGTTTTTAACAGTCAAGCACTGACTGTCAGCAAATGTAGGGCTGCTGCAGTTTGCTGGGAGTCTTCTCGAGATCCTAGTTGCCTCAGTTTTTCCCGTGCCTGGAGGTATCACCAGTGAAGGCTGCAAAATAGCAAAGACAGCAGGCTGCCCCTTTGTTTGGAAGCTCTGTTCCAGGGAGTACTGACCTGTTGCTGGCCTAAACACTCCTGTCGGAGATGTCTAGAGACTCCTGTTGGGAGAGCTCATCCAGTGAGGAGGAACAAGATCAGGGACCTAGTTACAGAAGCAGTCTGGCTGCTCTTAGTAGAGCAGCTGTGCTGCGTTGGGAAAGGACCTTTCCTCATCCAGATTGCCCGGACTCTCCATAGCCAGCAGGATGGAACAGCTTTGTCAACTGAACCACAGAGACAGCAGTCACCTCTCCCCTGGGAGCTCCATTCCAGGTAGAGATTAGATTTCTGTCAGTATACGCCTGGCTGGAGTGACTGAAGGCCCCACCCTGTGGGGAGGAATGGATCAGGGTCCTACGTGAAAAAGCAGTCTGGGCCAGGTGGAGTGGCTCATGCCTGCAATCCTAGCACTTTGGGAGGCTGAGGCGGATGGATCACCTGAGGTCAGGGGTTCAGGACCAGCCTGGCCAACATGGCAAAACTGTCTCTACTAAAAATACAAAAATTAGCCGGGTGTGGTGGCGCATGCCTGTAATCCCAGCTACTTAGGAGGCTGAGGCAGGAGAATCGGTTGAACCCAAGAGATAGAGGTTGCTGTAAGCCAAGAGCATACCACTGCACTCCAGCCTGAGTAACAAGGTGAGACTCTGTTAAAAAACAAAAAAACGGCCGGGCGCGGTGGCTCAAGCCTGTAATCCCAGCACTTTGGGAGGCCGAGGCGGGTGGATCACGAGGTCAAGAGATCGAGACCATCCTGGTCAACATGGTGAAACCCCGTCTCTACTAAAAATACTAAACATTAGCTGGGCATGGTGGCGCGTGCCTGTAATCCCAGCTACTCAGGAGGCTGAGGCAGGAGAATTGCCTGAACCCAGGAGGCGGAGGTTGCGGTGAACCAAGATCGCGCCATTGCACTCCAGCCTGGGTAACAAGAGTGAAACTCCGTCTCAAAAAAAAAAAAAAAAAAAAACAAACAGCAGTAGGGGCATGATCTGGCAAAATAGGTGTGCTGTGTTGGGTGGCGGAAACCTTTCCTCATCCAGAACACTTGACCTTTCCAGAGCTGGTAGGCTGGACCAGTGAGTCAACTGAACCACAGAATGGTGGCCATGCTTCCTAACAGGAGCTCCCTCCTATTTCAGGCAGGCAGCCTGTTGCTATTAGTTGGCTGGAATTCCAAGCCAGTGGGTTTTGTGAGGTGCCATGGAAGTGGGGCCCATAGAATGTTGCTGCTTGAATCCCTGGATTCAGCCCCCTTCCTAGGGGAATATAAGGATGAGTCTGCCACCTTGCCAGGAATTCTGGGGGTGAAGCATGTAAACCTCCTGGGCCTCTGTGTTCCTGAGTGGCTACTTTGCCAAGACTCCACACAGCTCTGTGGAGTGGCATGGGCTCAGAAGGAGATCTCCTGACCTGCAGGTTGCAAAGATTTATGAGAATAGCATAGTTTCCTGGGCAGGGTTGCATAATCATTCCCCACTTCCCTTGGCTGGTGGTGAGGGTTCCTTTGGCTCCATGCCACGCCACCATCACTCTGCCCTGCTTTTCTTCATTCTGTGTGGGTAATTAACTGCCTAGTCAGTCCCAGTGAGAGAACCTGTATATTTCAGTTGAAGGTGCTGAATTCACTTGTCATTTTCATTTCTCTCTATAAGTACCGTGGACTACATAGCTGCTTTTAATTGATCATCTTAATCCATCCCAGGTTTCCTCTTTTAGATTCTATTTTGAAATATGTTTTCTTTTTTTGCTCCTTTAATATCACATCTCTGATATTTCAAAAGACATGAAGCCCAACCAAAGCTCTTTCTACATTTCTTACAGGGGAGAAGCGACTGCTGTCTCTGTGGTTTCGTTGACAAAGCTGTTCCATCCATTTCTTACACGTACCAAACACACATAAAAAGTGCCAATCAGTGTTAAGATTGTGAAGATTGTGCAGCAGACACATGCAGCGTACATTCTAGCAGACATCAATTTTGACATGTCCACTATTAGAGATTTGTAAGTGCCTGAACAAACTCCTATTCTTTCCAAGGCCTGTCTCTTGAGTGATAACTATAATTGCCAAACTTTTGAATGAAGCCCCAACTTACAAGGGTTCTGTGCTACAGTAGTTAAAACCACTTGGGTATGCTGAACTATGGATGAAACAGACTTTAACTTAAATATTTTCCCTCCTGAGATTGTATGAAATGTATCATAAGCATGGATTCTGTAATAAGTTATGAGCTATGAACTCAAACTGAAGTGCTTACCACGTGTATCAAATTTTTAATGTCTCTCCCATTGTGAACTCTCAGATAAGCTTGTAACTGTGAAGACTATCATAGACGTCACATTACTAAGGTTTTTCTTGAATGTGAACACTCTGATGAAGTTGAAGACTTGAGGCATGACTGAAGCACATGACAATCTTCCCAAACTTCTGTAGTTTCTCTGCCATATGAACACTGATGCATATAAAGTCAAGTGCCTGTTGTAGTACATCCCACATGCCTCACATTTGTATGGATTATCTCCACTGTGGACTTTTTTCTTGGTCTTTAAGATATATGTACAAAGTTCTCATAGTTCTCATATTTGGATGGTTTTTCTCTGCTGAGGAGAATCTGATGGGTCAGATGAGTTGAGGCCCAGCCAAAGCCTTTCCCACACGTCACATTTGTATGGCTTTTCTCCCATATAGACTTTCTGATGTAAACGATGCTGTGAATTCTGAATAGATCTCTTCCCACACTCCACATTTCAATGGCTTTTCTCCACTGTGGAGTCTCTGATGTTTCAAAAGACATGAAGCCCAGCCAAAGCTCTTTCCACATTCCTTACAACTGTAGGGTCGCTCTCCCCTGTGGACCCTCTGGTGCATGTCAAGATTAAATTTACTGTTGTACCCCTTCTCACACTGCTCACATTTGTATAGTTTTACTCCAGTATGAACTGTCTGATGGGAATGAAGTTGTGAACTCTGAGTAAATCTCTTTCCACACTCTTCACATTGAAAGGTTTTTCTCCACTGTGGAGTCTCTGATGTTTCAAAAGACAGGAGGCCCAGCCAAAGCTTTTCCCGCATTCCTTACAGTTATAGGGTCTCTCACCCGTGTGGACCCTCTGGTGAAACTCAAGATCCAACCTCCTTTTATAGCCCTTACCACAATCCTCACACTTATAGGGCTTTTCTCCATTGTGGACTCTCTGATGGGAAGATCGTTGTGAATTTGTATAAAATCCCTTTCCACATTCTTCACATTTGAAGGGTTTTTCTCCACTATGGATTCGCTGATGATTCAAAAGACATGAAGACCATCTGAAGCTCTTCCCACATTCTTTACAATTATATGGTTTCTCTCCTGTGTGGACCATCTGATGCTTACAAAAATCTCGCCTACAAATGAAGCCTTTTCCACACTGCTCACATTTGTATGGCTTCTCTCTTACGTGAACCATGCAATGACTATTAAGTGCTGATCTCTGACGAAAGTTCTTACCACATGTATCACATCTGAATGGTTTTTCTCCTGTGTGAACCAGAGAATGCCTATTAAGTCTTGATCTAACACGGAAGCTCTTACCACATATATCACATTTGAATGGCTTCTCCCCAGTATGGATTCTCTGGTGTTCCTGAAGCTGTGAATCGTGAATGAAGGCCTTCCCACATTCCTTACAATTATAAGGTTTCTCTCCTGTGTGTAATTTGCAATGAACATTAAGTGCTGATCTACTATGGAAGCCTTTCCCACACTGCTCACATTTGAATGGTTTCTCTCCAGTATGGTTCCTCTGATGAGTTTGCAGATGTGAGATCTGATTAAATTCCTTACCACACACATCACACTTATAGTGTTTTTCTCCCAAATGGACTCTCTGATGAATATGAAGGGCTGAGATGTAACAGAAGCTTTTTCCACACTCATCACATGTATGAGACTTCTTTCTTGAGTGTAATTGTTGATGGAGATCAAAGACAGAAACATAACTGAAGGACTGTTTACATTCATTACCCTGGTAAGGTTTCTGTTGCACATGACTTATGGATAGGTCTGCCTCAATCTGGCAGGGGACATCACCTTCTTTGAAGAACCGAGAGCTGTTTATTATGGGGTCTTGAGACCTGGTTAGGTCCCTTGCAATTTGTTCCCAGATTTGCTGGCAGGACCACTCTTCATGTGGTCCTGCTTCTGGAACAGTTTCAATTTGGATCTTGCCTCCTAAAAAGACACAGAATTAACATATGTGGGCAAGTGAAGCCCTGTTCAATGTTTTCAAGATTTCACACTTAGAATATGGCATTAAACTTTAATGAATACAGGGAACATGAAGTTCATGTTTTCCAAGTGCACTATGGTCTTTGGTTTTCAAGAGACCAATTCAGAACCACATCACATCTCATATATAAAATCCTTGGTAGAAGTAAAAGACTAAATTAAGTAATTAATAACATACACATATTTAACCTGTTACTAATTTTGGTAAATTTCCTGGTCTAATAAAATCTTGTATGATAAATTATGAAACTAATAAAATATGAACATGAATAATGAAACAAAGGAACTTTAAAGAAGAAAGGCAGTTGCAGTAATTCAGGAAAGCGGTTTGGCAATTTAGACCAAGGTGATGGAAACAGGCATGGACAGAAGTAAAGCGGATGGAAAAGCTATGTACAAGGATGCACAGTTGCTTGGTTCTTACCTAAATTTCCTTCTCCTTGGCTTGTGGTCTTCATCATCCAAAACTTTTCCTTCCTTAGGAAGTGGAAAGTATCTTGGTGGAATGGTTGATTCCCTGTGAACATGCAAAGTTACATGCTTAATTCCAACCCACTGTAGGTAATATCTAGGGAATATTTACTGGAAATTTAGATTCCCAATGTAAACTCATACTTGAACACTCCAGAATACAAAGCATTCCTGGGGCCTAACGTTGTTACAGAGAGCGCCTGTTCTCACCTATTGAGAGCAGGTTTCTGAAGTTCTCTAGCATCACATCTTGGTACAGCTTCCTCTGGGCAGGGTCAAGCAGCCCCAGCTCCTCCTCAGTGAAGACCACAGCCACATCCTTGAAGGTCACTGCCTCCTAAAACGTTCAATACACAAAACCTAAATTTTCTGACCAATGATTATTCAAAAAAGGGTGGCATTAAGTAGGCAAAGGGGACAGCTGGGAAGTTGTCCTAGATCTTGAGGGATGTAGGTCAATATACAGATCTCCTATTCACTCTGCCTATATCCTGATAATGACACACACTGATTTTTATGAGCGCCACCAGAAGTGCAATGATATAAAGGAGGTCCTGTACTTTTACTTTGTGTACTCATTGAGTCTACTTGTAAGCAGCCCTCTAAGACTCTAACTGCTGCCTCCTGGGCTACATATATTCAGGTTTTAATGAGCCACCAATTGCCCCAGTAACATTTAGCAATTTAGTCCCAACTTTGATAATGTCCATTGTCTTCCTGTCTCACTCAAACTGTGGATGCTATAACTGTTTTTTAATATCTGTCAAACTAACCAGTATATGGTGACCTGTGTAGGACAGCTATGCAGTATATCCTCTATACTCTCAAGGCACAAACTACATACATTAGTTGCAGAATTCAATGTTGTGATATGGAACCATCATGCCTCAGAGCACATCCCAAAGCTCTGTCCCTTCCTAGTTGTGTGACCTTGGACAAGCTCACCTACATACATTAGTTTCCTCTCTGTATAATGATTTTCACCTGGTATAGTATTTTCAAGGAGTAAAGAAGGAAACATATATAGCATTGGGAAAAGTGTGTGGCACAGACTATTTAATAAATACTAGCTATTTTTATTATAACTGTCATTATTGTTAATTTCATCTCATTTCATTTCTGTATAATATTCCAGGGCAAAAATAATCTCTTTTTATTTAAATAATGAATACTTCATATTAAATATTATTTATTATCAATCCTGTAAAGAAAATAATTATATGTAGATTTTATCCTCCAGATTATTTAAAATGTCAAATGAAAATTAGAATGTCAATAAATAAACACATTTAAAATTGTGATCACATAATTTTATGCTTTCTTCCAAATTTTTTTTACCTACTTCCCACCCTTTTGAGTAAACACAAGTACTCTTATTCTCCTTATGACAGTGAAAAGCAGGTTATAAATATTCCTGTGATTTTGGTAATCTGATTAGGAAGAATAATTCATTGTATTAATATCATTCTCACTTATTTGACTATAAGTGAGTAGAATAGCTAACATTCCTGACCTTGGTTGCCTGTATGAATCTAAACAGATTTTTCATATTTGATGAGTTTAAGAGGAAGAAAAGACTAATATCTGCATTCTGCTTCTCTAAGTAAATGTAGTAACAGAATAGAAGTGACTGGCCATTCTGCCAGTATCATTGGACATTTGAAATGAAGGTACCTACTACTTTGATAAAACTTCTTACTCCATAAAGGAATAAGAAGAGACCAGTAAATAACATGCATTACAAGGTATGACTGAGACATGGCAAACACAGAATCTAACTCTTTCTATGTGAAAATTCCAACAATATTTGTGGGAAGCAGCAGTCAAAGCCTGATGTGCTCTACCCTGTTGAAATAATCTATCATCTATAAAATAGCCAAGTGATACATGTCAAAAGTATCCTATCTTGTTTTCAGAATTAATTTTGGGGGAAGGGATTATATATAGGAAAACTGTCAGGGCAGTGTTGCTTAAAACATTAAAATTCCTAAACCACCTAAATGTCTATGAGTGTGAGGTAGTTCAAAATAAGAAGGTACATTAATTCAATGGGACTATGATACCAATATAAAAATGGAACATTATATAATATTATACAAAATGAGCACAATTTAAAATTAGAGGTATTTCATCAATACAAATACAGTTATGATATGCATGATGAAGAATATAAGATACAAACATCTAATCTGTGAGCAAAGTAGTAGTGACATGAAAAAATTATCCATTCCTACTATTTTCTCTACTGTAGAAAATAAATTACATAAGAAAACAAGAACTGGGCTGGGTGCAGTGGCTCACGCCTGTAATCCTAGCACTTTGGGAGGCCGAGGTGGGTGGATCACCTGAGATCAAGAGTTCAAGACCAGCCTGGCCAATATGGTGAAACCTTATCTTAAAAAAAAAAAAAAAATGAAAACAAGAACTAAAACCAAATGGAAAGTCAACTCAAAAGCAACAAAGGAAGCATCTGGCAAATAAAATGCCCTCAATGCTTGTTGTTCTCCTTGAGTCTTCCCAAGACAGATAAAAATGTGACAATATGAGTAGCAGGATGGAATTTTAACAGCAAGAGAGGCAAGCCCTACTCACCTTGATTGTGGTCATTTTTCCTTCTACTTCAGGGAATTTGCAGAGTTCTGAATGAAGCAGTTCAAGTGAAGGTGAAATTGTGCCTGGAAAGTGCCAGGAAAGGCAGAAAAACAAATGTGAAAGCATGACTAGGAATGTTGCCCACCAAAACAGACAAGTATTTTCAATTAGCACATGAATGTTCACAGCAGCAGTTCTCATAATTCCAAACTGCAAACAAGCAAAATGCCCTCCTATGGGTAAATGAATAGACAAATCATGGCATATCCATACAACAGAATTTTATTTAGAAATTCAAAGAAGTGAAGTTCTGGCTCATGCAACAACATGCATGAACCTTGGAAACATTAAGCTAAGTAAAAGAAGCCAGTCACAAAAACCCATGGACTGTAAGATTCAATTTCATAAAATATCAGGAATAGGCAAATGTATACATAGAGAAAGTGGGTTAGTGGTTGCTCCAGATTTGAGGTGAGAATGAGGTTTAACTGTACTTAAGCATGAGGAGTCCAATTGGAAGATGAAAATGATCTAAACTGATGATGATGATGGTTACACCACTCTGCAAAGTTCCTGAAGATTATTAAATTATATGCCTGAAATGGATAAATTCTATGATATGCAAAATACACCTCAATAAAGTTGGAAATAATAATGGTTAATCTACATGTTATTTAACTGGATTCTGAGTCCATATTGATGGAATATTTATAGTTGAAGGAACTGATGAATAAATGGGGGAGAAGTGGAAGCTAATCTTTACAGAAGAATGCCCACTACTAATGTATTTCCCCAAAAGAAATGTTTTTATTTTCAAAACTTAATTTAAAAGTAGCCTTTCAGTGGAAAAATCTCAAAGACATCATCTTGGCCCAGTGAACAAAGTTGAAATCTCCAATGAAGGGAAAAATAGATATCATTTGGCCTCTGTTATGACACCTCAACACTTCTGTGGTACCCACACCAACAATGCATAATCTGAACCTAAATGTGAAATAGATAAACCTCAAATGAATATCTTCCTATAAAATACTTTGACTATATACTTCAAAGATGTCAAGAATAAAAAGACAAAGGCTGTTGAATCTTTCTAGATTAAGAAGACTACAGAAATGTGACATCTAAAAGCAGTATATAAAATTGGACTTTGGACTGGGGGATGGGGGAAAACAGTTACAAGAACTTTAAAAAGCACAACAAATTTAAATATGGGACTTTGGATAGAAAAGATGATGGTGTCTAATGTTGTCTAGTCATATCTAATAAGTAACAGAATTAACTAATATTAGTAGTCTTTTAATTGATATCTAGTATTTAATAGTGACATTATTTGATATTATATCTAATATTACCTAGCATGTTATAGGAAACTCTATAGCCAGCCCTTCCTAAATGCATCTTACCAAGACATTCCATGATCACCTTGGTATGTGGGCCTCCTTGCTGCAGAAAGCTATGATAAGTTGTTTCTCATTATAAGTTTGTTTCTGGTGGGATCTGGCTGATGTGTGTCAACAAAGCAAAATACAAAATGAAAATACTTGGAAAATTTGGGTAAAGAGCATATGAAGAGTCAGGTGCTGTGCCTTGGGCCTGTAATCCCAGCTATTTGGGACGCTGACGCAGGAGGATAGCTTGAGTCTAGGAGGTAAAGGCTGCAGTGAGTTAGGATTGTGCTCCAGTCTTGGCTCTTAACGCTCCAGCCTAATCCTTGACTACATGTCCCACATCCTGATGTAAGTGATAGACTCCCAAAGGCTTGAGCAGCCATGACTGAGCAGTGGTCTCAGGACCAGTCCTCAGAGGGCAATGGTCCCCTTCCCACAGCTCCGTTAGGCAGTGCCCTAGTGGGGACTCTGTGGGGAGCCCCCACATTTCTCTTTGGCACTGCCTGGTAGAGGTTCTCTATGAGGGCTCCACTTCTGTGCCAGGCTTCTGACTGGGATCCCAGGCTTTCTCATACATCCTCTGAAATCTAGGTAGAAGCTGCCAAGCCTCCTTCATGCTTGCATTCTGAGTATCTGCAGCCTTAACACAATGTGGAAACCACCACAACTACCAAGGCTTTCCCCCTCTGGAGCTGCAGCCTGAACTGTGCCTGGGGCACTCTGAGCTGAGGCTGCAGCTAGAGTGGCCAGATTCAGAGCACAGTGTCTTGAGGCTGCTCAGGGAAGTGAAGTGCTAACCCTGGCCCTTGGAACCATTCTTTTCTCCTAGGCCTCTGGGCCTGTGATGGGAGGAACTTTCCTAAAGACTTCTGAAACGTCTTTGAGGTCTTTTTCCATTGTCTCAGATATTACCACTTAACTTTCTGTTAGTCATGCAAATCTCTTTTGCAAGTGGTAGCCAACATATATTCCTCTCCTGAAAATGCTTTTTCTTTCTCTACCAAATGGACAGGCAGGAAATTTTCCAAACTTTTATACTCTGCTTACCTTTTAAATTCCAACTTTAAATAATTTCTTTGCTCCCATATATAACTGTAGGCTGTTTGAAGTAGTGAAGCAGCCAGGCCACTTCTTAATGCTTTGCTGCTCTGAAATTTCTTTTGCCAGGTACCCTAAGTTATCACTCTTAAGTTCAAGCTTCTAGAGATCCCTAGGGCATGAACACAAAACAGCAAAGTTCTTTGCTAGGGCATAACATGGGTGACCTTTATTCCAGGTCCCAATAACTTCCTCATTTCCATTTGAGATCTCATCAGCCTGGACTTCATTGTCCATATCTCTACCAGCATTTTGATCACAACCATTTAACCAGTCTCTAAGAAGTTCCTATGGTTCAGTGAAAAAGTTTAAAAAAAAAAAAAAAGTTTTAAGCTTTCCCTCATCTTCTTATCTTCTTCTGAGCCCTCTAAACTTTTCCAACCTCTGCCCATTAGCTAATTCCAAAGCGACTTTCACATTTTCAGGTATCTTTACAGCAATGCACTACACCTCAATACCAATTTTCTGTATTAGTTCATTTCTGTATCACTGTAACTAAATACCTGAGGCTGGGTAATTTATAAAGAAAAGAGGTTTAATTGGCTCATAGTTCTTCAGGCTATAAAAGACGTGTGGTGGCCGGGCGCGGTGGCTCACGCCTGTAATCCCAGCACTTTGGGAGGCCGAGGCGGGTGGATCACGAGGTCAACAGATCGAGACCATCCTGGTCAACACGGTGAAACCCCGTCTCTACTAAAACTACAAAAAATTAGCTGGGCATGGTGGTGCATGCCTGTAATCCCAGCTACTCAGGAGGCTGAGGCAGGAGAATTGCCTGAACCCAGGAGGCGGAGGTTGCGGTGAGCCGAGATCGCGCCATTGCACTCCAGCCGGGGAAAAAAAACGAAAATCCTGTCTCAAAAAAAAAAAAAAAAAAAAAAAGACGTGTGGTACTGGCATGTGCTCAGCTTCCGGTGAGGCCTCAGAGAGTTTTTATTCACGGGAGAAGGTGAAGGAGGAGTAGGCACGTCACACAGTGAGAGCAGGAACAAGAAAGAGAAACCAGAGAACCCAAACTCTTTTAAACAACCAGATCTACATGAACTAACTGAGGAAGAACTCATTCATCACCAAGGGGATGGCATTAAGCCATTTATGAGGGACCCACCCCCATGATCTAATACCTCCCACTAGGCCCCACCTTCAATACTGGGGATAAGGTTTCAACAGGAGATATGTAGGGACCAAACATCCAAACTATATCAAATGTAATTAAAAGAGAGGACTAGGTTGGACGCTGATGCTTGACCAAGGTCAAATTTTAGTGAATCTAAGCTTTAGCCACTTGCCTTAAAGCTGTCCCTAAGGGAAAAATTATGCCAGGACAACAGAAAGTACCTCTAAGACCTGTGGTTACAAAAAGGCAATCAATGTATGGGAAGGGTAAAACCAAGACACTGAAGCTACAGTGTACAGTGTGAAGGAATTGTTTATTTTGCAGCTTCTTCAGGAGCCTTTACACATCCCTAATGCAGAATGTTAAATATGCTCTTCCCAATAAAAGGAAATACTGCCTATCGAATTGCTGTAACTATGCATTAATCTTGTAGAGAAAATGCTGACATCCTGTTAAGCTTCCTAGACCCTACCTATATAAATGACTCTCAAACCTTTCCACTTCAGGGCACTTATCCAATCTTTTGAAGTCCATGTCCTCCCAGGTGGACATCCTCAAATTTTGTGTTTGAATAAATTCAATATTTAACCATATTTCCTGAATCTCATCATCAAGGTTAACAGATGTTGTTCCCAAGAGAACAGCCAGCTTGATGTGGATTAATGGCATGGTAAGGTCTGCTTACCCTGAAAAGGGGGAATGCTCAACTCACCCTATAAATGCTGGGTGAGACACCACAGATGACGCAACTGATACACTGCATGCAAGCCATGTGAGAATGAATTTATGATTACTGAGATATTCATCTGCTGAATATTCTCCATACCCAGGTCATGGTAAATGCTGTGGCTAAGGGGGCCACTTTGGCATGGGTACCCCATGTGACTTTCATAAAAAGAAAATGCAGGGCCGGGCGCAGCGGCTCACGCCTGTAATCCCAGCACTTTGGGAGGCCGAGGCAGGTGGATCACAAGGTCAAGAGATCAAGACCATCCTGGTCAACATGGTGAAACCCCATCTCTACTAAAAATACAAAAAATCAGCTGGGCATGGTGGCACGTGCCTGTAATCCCAGCTACTCAGGAGGCTGAGGCAGGAGAATTGCCTGAACCCAGGAGGCGGAGGCTGCGGTGAGCCGAGATCGCGCCATTGCACTCCAGCCTGGGTAACGAGAGCGAAGCTCCGTCTCAAAAAAAAAAAAAATGCAAAATGGAGATGGTTATGTCAGAGGTATCTAAAATGTGGCATGAGGAGTTGGACCCCAGTCATATAAACACCCAGATGGATTTTAACCTGTCAAACTGGGCCAAATTGTAAAACCAGCTGCATTTGATTGGAATTGTTTATACGTGGCCTGATCGCAAACCTGTTGGGGAGACAGCTATGCTGAACTAGATTGATCATCAACTAAAGACACCCTAAGTTGCTAACCAACTGTCATCAATCATGGACTGTACTAAGACTTTCCAGATATGTAAACTTACAGTAAATATTTATAAGCCATTGCCCAACCTTGCCTGGATAGAACAGGAAATGATTTAGCTGACTACTAGATGTGTACCTCTTGATTGCAATTCACAAGACCCCACTTAAAACATCTTTTGTTTGCGGCTCAGTGTTGATATTATTTATTAGTTGACACCTTAACTCTTGCAAAACTGAACAACAGTCCTAGAAACCTTATGAAATTTGTCTCAGCCTCCTTTTAAGGATCTTAAAGATGTTAATAAAAACATTAGATTAATTATCAAGAGGAAAAAGACAGAGAAAAGAGTCAAAAGACTCATCCCAGAAAGCTAGAATTTTTTTTTTTTTTTTTTTTTTTTTTTTGAAATAGAGTTTCAGTCAGGCGCCAGGCTGGAGTGCAGTGGCACAGTCTCAGCTCACTGCAACCTCCGCCTCCCGGGTTCAAGCAGTTCTCCTGCCTTAGCCTCCTGAGTAGCTGGGACCACAGGTGCACGCCACCACGCCCAGCTAACTTTTGTATTTCTCGTAGAGACAGGGTTTCACCATGTTGGCCAGGATGGTCTCGATCTCTTGACCTCATGATCCGTTTGTCTCGGCCTCCCAAGGTGCTGGGATTACAGGCTTGAGCCACCGTAGCCGGCCGAAAGCTAAATTTTTTAAAGATCATTTAGAAAATAATAATAAAGGTGAAACTAAGGAAAAGGGAGAGTGTGTCATGGGACTCATTCCAACAGGGTGAAAATCTTTAGGTTGCTATGTTAAATTAAGTTCAGCCTAAAGCTGCCTTCTTACATATTTTAAGTCAGATATAAACGTTTCTCTAGGCCAGGCGTGGTGGCTCATGCCTGTAATCCCAGCACTTTGGGACCCCAAGGTGGGCAGATTACCTGAGATCAGGAGTTCAAGACCAGTCTGGCCAACATGGTGAAACCTCGGCTCTACTAAAAATTAGCTGGTACGGTGGCGTGTGTCTGTAATCCCAGCTACTCAGGAGGCTGAGGCAGGAGAATCACTTGAGCCCAGGAGGCGGAGATTGCAGTGAGCTAAGATCACACCACTGTACTCCAGCAAGGGCAACAGAATGGGGGACTCCATCTGAAAAAATAAAAAAAATAAAAAAACAAATAAAGGTTTCTCCAAATATAGTGAATTGTAACTTAACTGGGGTGTAAACAGACTGTAACCTACTCTTGTGCCAATCACTTGAGTTTTGCCTAATCAAAGGGAACCAACTATTCAAACAGGGATCAAATAAGGCAAAAGCTGAGCTGTAATCAAACTGGCTGTTTCTGTTCCTCACTTCCACTTTCTAAATGTCACTTTCCTTTTTCTGTTCATAAATCTTCTTCAACCACATGGTAGCACTGAAGCTTTTCCGAATCTCTTCTGGTTCAGGGGCTGCCTGATTTACAAATTGGTTTTTGCGGCCGGTCGCGGTGGCTCAAGCCTGTAATCCCAGCACTTTGGGAGGCCGAGGTGGGTGGATCATGAGGTCAAGAGATCAAGACCATCCTGGTCAACATGGTGAAACCCCGTCTCTATAAAACTACAAAAAAAAAATTAGCTGGGCATGGTGGTACGTGCCTGTAATCCCAGCTACTCAGGAGGCTGAGGCAGGAGAATTGCCTGAACCTAGGAGGCGGAGGTTGCGGTGAGCCGAGATCGCGCCATTGCACTCCAGCCTGGGTAACAAGAGCGAAACTCTGTCTCAAAAAAAAAAAAACAAATTGGTTTTTGCTCAATTAAATGATTTAATTTATCTAAGTTTTTTTTTTTTTTTTTTTTTTTTTTTTTTTTTTTTTACTTTTAACAGTTATTAAGAAATGGAATAAATAAAATGGATAGAAGATAGTGCATGGATTTGCATGACCCACCATCATTTCTTCAGACCAAGAAACACACTAGATAGATAGCCCACAATGGCCAATGGTTTAATCAACTGTGTCTATGCAATGAAGTTTCCATAAAAAACCAAGAGGACTGGATTCTGGGAGCTTCTGGATTGCTGAACGCATGGAGGTTCCTGGAGAGTGGCATACCCAGGAAGGTATGGAAGCTCTGCACCCTTTCCCACATGCCTTGCCCTAGGCATCTCTTCACCTGTAGCTTTTGTAATATCCTTTGTAATAAACCAACAAACCCCCCTCCAAAAAAATAAGCTTAATGATTGGGCACAGTGGCTCATGCCTGTAATCCCAGCACTTTGGGAAGCTGAGGCGGGCAAATCATGTGAGGTCAGGAGTTAGAGACCAGACTGGCCAACCTGGTGAAAACCCATCTCTACTAAAATACAGCATGCTGTGCGCCTGTAATCCCAGCTACTTGGGAGGCTGAGGCAAAAGAATCACTTGAACCTGGGAGGTGGAATTTACAGTGAACCACGATCATGTCACCGCACTCCAGCCTGGGCAACAACAGTGAGCCTCCGTCTCAAAAAGTTAAAAATAATGAATAAAATAAATTAATTAATAAATAAAAATAAGCTTAACAGTTACTATCTTTATATCCTGCATTTAGGGGTAATTAAACATTTTTTTCTTGTCATATTTCTGTAGTTTCAGAATGCTCCATAATGATATGGCTCTATAAGAATACAAAATATTTGTAATAAGTGAAACAAAATAGTTGACAAAGTTTAAAAGACTCCTAAAGAAGTCCAAGCCCATGAGCCTTACTCTCAAGGTCCCTTCAGTCAAGTCCTAACTTGCTTTCTCCACCTGATTCCAGCTAGTTCCTCTGCCTCAGTGAGAATGTATCCAAGAGATTATCAGCTCCGGCTCTGACCTGGACTGCAAAGGTTCCAACCCCAGCTCCACTTCTTATTATTAATTGGGCAACTATGGGCAAATAACTCCTGCTCCCTTTGTCTCATCTTTAATAGATGAAATGGCAGTACCTCTCCACAGAGCTACCATATGGCAAACATGAATTTCTTTGCATAAAGCCCTTAGAAATAAAGACAGCAATTAAGGCTTTCTTATCAATGCTCATGACCAATTACAACATCCCACAATAGATGTGAACGTTGCTGTAAAAGAAAAGTGACAAGTCACACTCACATGGAGCTTTGCTGTCAGTAGTCAACAAGTCAGTCCATCTACCTCCATGCAATCGTTTTAGAGAAGTCAGGCTGTGGAAACAATGCTGCGAAATACCATAGTTGTGTACTCATTCTTGACAAAACAGTCAAGACTCTCCCCTCCTTCTGCGGAAATTGGAGATACCCCTCCTTTTCCTAAATAAGAGGCCAGAGAGTGTCCAGAATTATCCAGTGTTCTGCAGGGATCAGAGAGAAGAGCCAGTAATGCTTTGACACCACCCCAGGGACCTGACCATTTCTCAGGAAATTAACAAGAGATCACCATTCATTATAACAGAAACTGTGTTAAGACTCTTTTCTATTACCTCTTTCAATTCCCAAGACAATTCTGTTAGGAAGGTCTTAATAACCCCCATTTAAAGAAAAGCAAAGAGAGGCCCAGGGAGATGAGATTAACACCCCAATGTACTTCTGTGGGAATCGGCCTCGCGCCAGTAGCGGAGGGAGGCGGATTGGGCGAGCTCAGGGCCCCAGAAACCTCCAAATCAGGCGAGAGGTGACAGGACCCAGTCCCAAACTCCCCCGGTACGCTAGGACAGCCCCAAACGCAAGAAATCTCTGCCGTGGGGATTGCAAACCGCCGCCCTCACCCCTCCAAACCTTTGCTTTTCAACGGTGCTTCCTTTCCTCTAAACCTATCGCTAGCTTGACGAGGGTTCCTAGAGAAGGTCCAGGAAATTCAGAAGGGCCTACGAGACGCAGAACAACTCAAACTATCACAGAATAAAGGGTAACTCCCGCAGCAGTGGCTCCCGAGACTCCACAGAGCGTCTGGAATACATTTCCCAGAATTCCCCGGATCTGACTGCCTGAGCGGAAGTGCCCGCAACTCCGCAGGCCATTTGGACTCTTCCCAGAATGCCCAAGGAGTAACAGTTTTACCCTCCAGGGGGAAGTGTTCCAACTAAGCATAGCTTCTTGACCACACTTCTTCCAAGTATCCAGAGAAGGGAATCCCTCTTCCCAAACGCCTACGTGGTTAGATGGACTCCTGCACCAAGTGTCGTCCTTACCTTGAGTCTTCGAGCAAAAATATTACATAAACGATTATTTTCTGATCGAAATATCCCCAATTTTGACAGAAGTATGACTGGAAAGTGAACAACTGTGGAGATAAAATATTTTCAAGGAACTAATGAGAAATTACTACTTAGGGATCAATAGAGAACTGAAGGGAGATAAACGTTTAGTATAACCTGATGATATGAGGCTAAAACTGATTGTATGCCGATGTAATTTTAATTTGCATTTCCTGTATTGTAAATGAAATAGAACATCTTTTCATGTTTTCAACGGCCATTC